TCGGTGTCTCGGCTTAAATGTGCCTTTATATTTGCTCATTAACATTCAGCACGTTCCCCAAGAGGTGGAGTGCCCCCCCACCTGGCACAAACGGAGTTGTGCCGGCATCCCAGCCAGCATGCCGCACGCCATTTAAATTTATCCTGCTATAAATATGCCCATATAGAGTGAGAAGCCAGGCTAGGGGGACACTCCAGGTCTTGGACTGTTTGACATAAGTCTGCTTACGCGATAAGCCGTCACCTGTCTTGGGGGGGGGGGGGGTTCACGTGCCTGCCCCACTATTCCGTGCCCTGCCCCACTATTCCGTGCCCTGCCCCCTCACCACCTTTTGCAGCCCGTGTGCTCAGGCTTCTTTGCCGCCTCCACAGGCATTTACGGAATACAAATTGTCACCTTGGCTAATTTTGGAATGAGCACTGCCAGCATGCCGGATGAGGAGGTCATTGCAGTCGGATGGGGGTGGGGGTGTTATCTGACCTTGGGGACGTGTCAAGTAGCGCGGCATCATGGGGGTGAAGTTTGGGTGGGGGAGACACCAGGGAGGGCACTGGCTGGTTGGTGTGCTGGCTGGCTGGTTCATCAGTTGCATGGACTGTTGGTGTGTCCTCCTCCCACCTGGCTTTGCCGTAAAGCTCTAGTGCTCCAGGCAGCCATTTCTCCAGCTTGGTTTCAGCTTAGCAGATACTGCAGTCATATATAACAGCAGGAAATTCCTGCATCTGGACTGAGTCAATTCCGGAAGGTGCTTCTTCTCCAGCGCAGTGCTGAAAATCCAGCCCGCATTATTTTGTCATATCTGCTCATGGACGTTATTTCTCAGTGTCACCAGCATAAACCCGTTACTTGGCGAAGACCCCCAAATCCCCTCCCCAGGACAGTTGCAGCCCTCACATGATAGGAGGAGCAGGTAAGGGTGTTGACACATTCACTGTCAGAGAGGCTGGAAAAATGTGGTCTGAACCAATGGCAGTGCACACCCTGGTGGCCTTTTGAGGGGTAACTTTGGCAGCATCTGTAGACAGGAATTCGGAATCTGTGGGAGGATGCGAGGGGGGGGGGGCGGGACTTTGGAGATGCGGGCTTTCTGTGGTCCACACTGGGCAGTGGAACAGAGCGCTGGGGCGGCTGGATGCTCCCACGCTCAAGTTTTCTAAGAGGAACACAGAACGGGGATTTAAGGTCTCCCTTGGTGCATGCTGCACGGCTTTAATGCTTAACTTTGACTTAGTGTTTCTGGTTTGCACAGCCTTTATTTAATGAAGGTGGTGGTTAAGGAACTTTCTGGACCAGGCCGCTCTGATGCTTTAGAATGTTGCATGTGCTGGGGCACGCGAGCCCTGCCATTGCAGTAACGGAAAGTAATGGAGACACCACAGACATCCTGCCTGTTGGATTGATTTTAGATTCTTTGGATGTTTGTGTGTGAAAGAGGGTAGGCGGTATTCTCTGTGTACACATAACCTTTTGTATGCTTGTGTGTGTTGTCCACTATATTCTTTCGGTAATGAGACAGATTCATAGAGCAGGAGGGGGCCTCCTCACTCCCCATTGTCAATGGTGGTCATTGGATATCAGTTAATCTCCCTGCGCAAGGTGCTGTCACACACAGATGCTTCTTTCTGGACTGTGTTTGAGATCACGGGCTCAGTGAGTCATAGAGTGCATGTGCTGTTTCATGGCAATGCAGAGGTTGGAGGAGGAAGGTAAATGTGCCAGTCAGGGTCCAGCTGGGGCCTGTCTTCACCAATCAGAAGCCAGTTGGGCCTCGTGACTTACGAGATTAATATAAACCTCGACCTTCTTTCCAGGGTAGCATTTTCCTGGGCTTATGGACACATCAAACCCGCCACTCCCTTGTTCGGGGTTCCCCCTGACCCACACAGGCTTCTTGTTTCCTCTGGGCTGGGACCAGCCTTGGTACCATCTGCCCTGCATGGGAAGCATCCAGCATCTTCCATCTGGCTGTAGCGTGTGTTTCCCTGACCTTTGGGGCATGCTTGGATGCTCCTGAACTTAGTTTGGTAGGGTCTCGGTTGGTGGTGTGTGTTCTGGTGTCCAGGTGCTCCTCAGCCCATAGACAGGGCCCATAGAATCCCTGGACCCCAGAGCTCTGTCCTGTAGCTATAACAGTATGGAGCAGGGGCACCTTTGGGCAGGTGCAGAGGTCTCTGGATAGGAGCGGGGTGAAACTCAAAGCGTTATTAGCTCTGTGCGGTCCCAAGTACGCAGCATGCACGATGCTACGGTAACCATATTAATTACAGCATTGTGCGTAGGAAGCCGGCCTTCCCATCTGAGATATCCTGCATTGCCCCCACATCCCATCCCTTCATGTATGTGCATACTAAGCCACGATTCCTTCCACATTCTCCTGCACACACATTCGCTGTGTACCTACCCCCATGCCATCCCTGCCTCTATGCCTTCACCACCCCTTTGCCATCCCAGCTCTGCCCTGATCCCTAAGGTCCCGTTTAATGGCCACCGTCTTGCATATCTGTTTATTTTCTGCCCATCTGGGGACTCTCAGCTCAGTGCAAACGTACTGTGCTTTCCTGCCCCAGGCCTGAACAGATGTGGTGAGACTCTCCCAGTTGCCCGTTGGATCGGCCAAGCGGATCTGCCACCCTGTGTGCTGGGTTTTTGTGTCCTCTGATTCCTCCCAGGCAGCGGCAGAGCATTTAGGGTTCACGTCCCAAGAAGCAGCAGCTGTAGTGCTGTGAGGTACCCAACAGCCATAGACACAGGACAGTAAGCGGAGGGCATGTGTGTGAGTCACAAACCCATGATGACAGGGTTTCTGTTCCCTGGCACTGAGGGCATCGCCTCTCTTCACCTTTCGCATTTTGCCACCTTGAATTATTCACGCTTCCAAATGTGACGCATTATGACATTTTCTCGTTTATCCAGCTGAAGTTCAGGTCGGGATATTGCAACAACCATCCTGGGACGCGAACCAGCGACCTTTAGGTTACAGACATGCTCCCTCAGCTGCCCCACCACCATCATAACAGATAAGCATGCTGCGGTATTATGTGCTCAGATGTCACGGTGGGTCTGCTGGGAGGAAGGCGTGTTTTGGGGGGGGGGGGGGGGGGGCGGCCGCTTGGCCGGGGAGGGGGGGGGGGGGGGGGGGGGTTTAGAAGGTCCCTGAAAAATAAAGTCTTTTTAGCACCCAGTTTAAAATCCCTGGATTTTGGCCGGCAGTCTGACGTGGGAGAAACTGTGTCCCAGGCTCCCTTGGCAGGGTTGATGCCATTTAGAATTCCAGGCGGCGTCGGCTTGCGGTGGCGGGGCAGCGGGAAACGGAGACGCTATATCGTGCTGTGATGAAAGTGTGGTGGAGGCATGGAGTGAGGGAGACGGCACAGCTCGCCGATGCAAACGTAGGAGGCTTCTCCTAATGGTCGAGTGTGGGGAAGGCATCCGGGAGAGAGCCAGCCAGCCGGCTGCCGTCAGAGCCCCGCCCGGCACGGCACGGCCGCGTAGCCATGGCTCCCGTCACTGCTGCCATGCAGTGGTGCAGTAAATCCCGCCCCTTTACCTCAAAGAGCTTTTTTTTTTTAAACTGCGATCCTCTGGAGGATGTCTGACCAGCTTAGCGGTGGTCCAGTTAACGAGCTCCGTGCAGGTGTACAGATGTGAAACTACTGACGTAAGTCAGCCAGCCTCAGAGTCTAAGATGGCTGTGTCGCCGATGGCCCAGAATTCCCCCAGTGCTTTTCTGTTCCTGATCAGCCTGACATTGAGGTATATTTTGAATATTTAATCTAGTAGCTAAATGTCAATGACTGCTGTGTCCTTATAAATCTGGCCATCCAGTTCACAGCCGCTTTGTCTGGCCATATTTTCTGGAGGAAGAATATTCATAATTATGCCAAGCTTATTTTTGCTTTGTCCCTCGCAGTGGTGTCAGGTGAGATGTTTCCGGACTGCTTACGGCCTCTGTCCGCCTCTCTCAGGTCATTGGATGGCTTTGTCTCCCAGGGTTTACAGGTCACTCATATTCTGCTGGCAGCCAGAGCTATCAGACGATGGTCTCAATGTCCCCGATAAACACAAATCCCTGGGGTCCTGATCACCTACAGGGTAGGATATCTTATTTGGATCAGCCTGAGAGCACCTGTACCATGTGACCACGTTTGGGGGGAAGTCCCCTCAGCTGAAGCTGTGGGGTGGGGGAGCCCTGCCCTGAGGGCTGCAATCTGTGAGACTCCTGAGAATGAGGAGATCTCCACTCCGGTGATGGGGGGGGGAGGGGTTTCAGTGACATTTTGTGAATCCATTGTTGTGTTTCCCTTAGAAAAATAAACAGAAGGAAAACAAGCATAAATGTGGAGGAGTGATGAATATTTTATTAGCCTGGGCTGGCTGATTCCCCACCCTTTTCTGAATTATAAATAACACTTCTCTTCAGGAGCTGAAAATGACTGATATGTGAGGCTTAACATGCCTTTAATTTGTTCATTATTTCCGGGGACTTTTGGGCGATATCCACAATATTGTTATTATATTCATAATTCATAGTGTTCTGTCTTTATTACTTTACGTTGTAGAGGAGTGTATATTCCGGGTGCAGGAATAAGCGCACTCTCAGAAATTGATTGTTGGCTAGGAGCAGTTCGGCAGTCCCGCCCGTTTCGGCGGCAGAGCCTGCAGGCAGTTTAGATGGCGGGATTTTATTAACTCTGTGTAGGGGCTTAATGGGGAGAGTTTCGGCTCATGATCTCGTCATTTTGTGCTTTTCCCAGGCTCTATATTCCAGGCTGAGATTGTTGCATTTTAACCATATCACCAATAAATGCTCGTTCATCCAGCCCTATCAAATTACTCCTCTGTCCTGCTCCAGCCCAGAGACCTGCATAGAAACACTGCACATTCGCCTCCACCGGGCTGCCGGCCATCTCCTCCTGTGCAGCACCGTGTTCTGTGCCGTTATTCCTTTCTCTTATGTGCTGGTCCCATCTGACACGTGATCCCTCGTGTTCACCCTGCAGGATTGAACCCGCTGTCGTTCGACCCAGCCACCAACAATGAGCCCCTGCAGTTCAGCGGCTCTGGCGGGCCCCTGGTGACCGACTGTCCGCTGGAGAACGGCACCGAGAATGGCAAGAAGAGGAAGAGACCCAGCCTGGCCACAGGTAAGATGGGCAGACTGACCCGCACAGTTAAAGGCACGGCTTATGTGGCACTAACATTATTACAGTCCCCCACCCAAAGAAAAGTTTTCTTGATTAATTTACTGTAGATGAGCAGCCAATTACAGACTGATATTCTCCAGGGTGATGAATGTCCCTCATGGTCATGGGTCCATACATGGATGATAATGATGGAGAAATATACTGTAATTAAGAGCACATTAAGGGGAGCAGCTATTCCACTGACAGGGGGTGATGTCCCCTACGTCCTTGCTATAATGATATGCCATTAATTGTTGGTGTTATTGAACCTCCGACAGCCCACTTCAGGTCACGCCTTTTTTTATTTTGATATCTTTTCTGCCGTCAATTTCTGTGTCCTCTCTCTGCCTTGGACTCAGTGAGTAAGGTCTGAAGATGGGAAACAGGCTGCTTTGTGGGGTCCCCTTTAGTCAGGCCAAGACTGGCCACGATCTGACCTTCATTATAGCCATGATCTTTTTTTGATCTTCTTTTGCTTAGCCAATGCTATATTTCAGGCTAATTTTACAGGAGTTGGAGGATTCTGCATTTCCCCCACTAACTGTGGCACTGTGTGATTACTGAAGCAGTTTTGGTAAATTCCCTGTCAGAGTGTGTTATGGTGTCGCTTTTTACAGGGCAGGGAATGATTAAACCGCAGCAGTGATACTAATAATAGGGCTGTCAGTTTGGGCAAACTGTCATAAGCCATCAGTGATCAGCCACACTGTCAGGGAGGTGGGAGCTGGGGTGTAATTTGCTCGGCTGTGATTGGCCAGATGGACGTAGGGGGCGGTGAGGGTGGGGTAGCATTACTTGTTACAGGTGTTTTAAATGCGCCGAGAGCAGCTGGCACCTCAGCGGGTGACTGTGCAGCAGAGGCCGCTGCAGACAGGTCATGGGCGTCGCCGTGGCCCTGTTGAATCACAGACGTGTGCACATGAAAGAGGTGTAGGGTTTGGAGGTGGAGACAGAGCGCACGCTCGCGTGTGGATCAAAGCCAGCCGCCTGGCAGATATCATCCTGTCATGAAGAAAACAGCAAGAGGCCTTAGCGGGGGGTGGATGGAGGCCTGCACGCCGTGTCGTGTTAATATCCACGTCGACCGTTACGTACATGCAGCTGTCACATCGCAAGGACCATCAATAAGTCTGAAACATTTTTACTCCATCTTCGGAAACAAGCTTTGCAATTTTAATGATTGGGGAGAGAACCGAACAAGAACTGGTCATCAAAAAACATTCTTCTTCCGCTGTATGGAAACATTTTGGATTCCACAGAGACCAAAGCAAGTGATTTGTCGACACTACTCGAGGCAGCAAGCGAAAGATATTCTATTTATGCTGTTGCGAATAATTTAATATCTACACTTAGGTTGTCAGGGTCGTTGTTAAAAATGTTCTTGAAATTCATGTTCTGTGAAATTCGTTCTTATTAAAATTCCTAATAAAAACTTGTATTTTTTTTTGTTTTTTTTTTACTTTGCCAGGAGGGACGTCTTGATTTTCGGCCGAGTCTTAAAGTTCAGCTGTTAGTTAAGCGGAATGTGAAGGAACTACTGACTTGCCTTCCCCACTCTGTCGACGAATAAGATACTCTGTTGGCAGATAAGTTTTATTTGGCTATAGTTTATTTTGGGTATATTACTCCTTTTTTGTTTTTAAAATTTTGCAATGTTTATATCAAAAATGTCAAATATCATAATGTGAAGTTTTACTATATTGTGAAACCCTAGATGGAGCCCAGTGTTATGGCTGTTTCCTGACACTGCTGCCACCCCCCAACCAAAGAAATATAACTGCCAGAAGGCATGATGGGAAAAGGTACCCTCCCTACAGCTCTTTTGAAGATGGTGCTCGCGCTGCTACTAGCGAAGAGGAGCCGTGTATGAAAATAACATCTTCATTAAGGATTTATTCTCTGCCGAAAGTGGCGGAGACTCCGGATTGCAAACACACGCCGTATCATAACTCAGAGCGGCTCTGTGTCTTTGTTAAGGTGCTGGGAAATATCCCATTACTGGTCCGTAAAATTCATCTCCCTTAATGGAAAAAAGACCGTTTTTAGCATCTGGTAAACAACACATTACTACATCTTAATGTACCTCTTAATGTACGGCAATGCAAGACATCATACAGCTCCTGCAAGCGGGTAGGAGGGTGAGCGGGCGGGCACAGGGGCATTGACTAATTAAGAGCTGCCGATTTACCCTCGTTAAGGAAACTTAATGAATGGACTCATCTCATTATGTTTGCAGCTCAATTAGCTTCTCTCCTCTCCCACCCCCAAACTGCAGATCCCACCTCCTGCTGTTGGCTGAGCCTATAACGTGGACCGTAGTGAGCAGGCTGGCTTTGCTATTGGCCTAGAGGCCTGGACGCATTTCCTCTGTGAGCAACGCACACAACGACACTGATCGGTGCCTATTAACTTGACAGCCCCTGAACAATTATTTGCTGGAGCAAATAATTTAAATTGCCCTGGCAAGTTGCGAATGGGCCCACGTTGTTTAACATATGGGAATTGTTCACATGATTAGATTTCTGCCCCCTCCCCGTGCCATCGGAGCAGCAGTCCCCAAACCAACGACTCATGTTGGCCCATTTGCATGGGTGAAACAAAATCTTAATAAAATTGTAAATGCAAAATTAATGCACTGTTATCCCACAGCCTGAGGCTGCATGGAATATTCTGGAATGCTGCCCCTTTTAGATTAGCGTCAAGGCCCACGTTTCTCTGTTATCCCCCCGATAACAGTGACAAAGCCACATGTCGGAGCTCCACCTTCCTGCCCCCAACCCCCTGCTGAGTGGCATCATCCAGCATGACAGTTACAGGCACCATCAACAATGAAATCATGTAGAACCTTCTGAGGGTGGGGGCTGTCAGCGCCTGCCGACTAAGGCTTCTGATCCATCCCGGCTGGACCTCCCTGCCCTTGTCACGGGTCATGTGCGTGTGCAAGATCACCAATATTAGCGAGACTGGCTAATGGGTCACTGCTGTCTGAAAGAAGGGGGTGATGTGACCCCGGGGGCAGTTTCCTCCATTTTCCATCTCAGACGCAAACCTCAGCTTCTCCTCTTGAGGTCTTCAGTTCAGAAACCATTTGGTGATGAGGCAGGGTGCCGGGTTGAGCAGCACGTCACACGGCCTCCCACTCAGCTGAGGTGCACAGGGCTGAGCCGCGGGCGGCTCGGCTGTGGTGATTTCCCAGGTGGGCGGCGACGGCTGGGGATGATTTGATTGTGCTCGCACATGCAGAGTATGCAGAAAGTCTGCTGGTGAAGGCCCTGCGCTTGTGGGAAGGCATTGGGTGTGTAAAGTCCCAAATAAATAAAAAAAAACACGATGGAATCCGCTTCTCCGGCACTCAGCCACAGAGATGAAGATGAGAAGCGACCAAGCCTGCAAACGAGGGTAAGCAGTTCCTAAAAAAGCGCCTCGTTAACAGAGCACATTTAGGGTCCCTGCAGCTGCTGTCACCAGGCCATCATTTGGGGGGGGGGGGGGCACTTGGGAGGGGTGTAGCAGGCAGGGTGTTGACCTTCTGCAGCCGCTGTGTGTGTTTTCCCCTCCTGTTTATGATACTGGGGAGTAAAGCCTGAAAAACAGATTCATCCATAAGGGATGCCAGCTTTCGAAATGAAAGTGGCTGTTTGCTCTAAACTTCCCCATGTTGTGTTTGAATATTTTTGATAGGGTGGAGCCATGCATATGTGTTTATGAGTGTTTGTTTAGAACAGATGTTGTGGGAAAGTACACACAAGGAAAATGACCTGAGATTTAAAACAAAATCTTCTTTAGAATACACATAACATGCAGTGTTATGCTTTCATTTGTTTCTGAGTTCAGGGTCAGTGATTCTAGTAAAATGAAAGTGGAGTCAGATAGACGATTCTGCAAGGTAGTTGTGTGGAGTGGGGTGGGGTGGAGGGGGTACACATTAATTTAGTCCCTGGTAGAAAACTGTGCTTCGACATGGTGTTTTGTCTCACAGGAGGGTTTGGGGGTTGGATGGGGGGCTTTTACACAGTCATGCCAGCCCATTTGGAGTTATTCGGCCCTGTTAGACTGACGGCTTAATGATGGCTTGCTGCCCCCATTTCTCCTGATTCTGAGGAGGGGGACAGCTTGGTGAGGCAGGGAGCTGGAGGATTATATCACTCCTCTCTGCTTGGGGGCAGGATGCTCCAAGCTTCAGCTGACTGCGTCTCTGAGAGTGTGCCCCAACCAGGTTTGGCTGCACTCGTGAGGTTTCTAAAAATGTCGTATCTGAGCTGCACATGTGCGCACGCATGCACGTCTATACACTCATAGCCTTGTCTTGGTCATATCTGCCAACATTTAGGGTTCAAAATATGGGATTAAGTTGATAACCAGATTTGTTTATGCAGCCTTCCATCAACTTGCATTCGCATTTGCGACTAAGACCACTGGATGCAAGTCAGTTTGGGAGTATCTCTCCAACACATATACATTCCTGTACACATACTGTGTTACGAGTTCGATATGGACAGTGGGTGATTATACGGCTGGCAGTGCTGCCCGTTCTCCTGCACTTATTACACTAAGTGATACACCCGCTAACGTCCCATCTCATCCGTATTCTGGCATCTCCCAATCTGTGTACAGTGGTACCTCAGAACTCGAACCTAATCCGTTCAGAACTCGGGTTCGAATCCTAAAAAGTTCGAGTTATGATTGAATTTTCCCCATAAGAAATAATGGAAAACCAATTCATTGGCCAGCCGTATAATTTTGTCACACCGCATGCAGGACGAACAAGCAGGGAGCGCAGAATCAGGGTCAGGCAGACGGAAATCCAAGAACAGGGTTTACTGCTGGCAAACAAGGCACAACACGGAGTAGACTTCAATGACAGGACTGGGGGAACATACTTTAATGCGGACTTAAATACACATGACTAATTAGAAATAACAAGAAACAGCTGATGACATCGGGATATCACATGAGGTTAA